AATGACAATAAAAAGCCATTTACAAAGTTTTTAAAATGCATGGTCAGAACGGATAGAACGGTGAAAATGTGTGTATGAAATAAGTGACGACAAACGTCTGCTTCAAGAATTGCTATGTCCGTCTACAGTAAACAAAGACAGAACAGTACGATACACTGCCTGTACACTTTGATATACTAGAAATCGTTTTCTCCATGGTGATAGTGACTTCTTGTTCAAATTTTGTTAATCTTCTTTGATTAGTGTACAAAAATAATGTTCTTACTGTATATTCTTTCAACGACGTAACATTTTCCGCTTGTACCTAATTAGAAATTAGCGATGAAAATTCTTCCTGTATACGTTTTCTATCCAGTTACAGCCTAGATTATATGTGTATTATATTTTTTCTTCCACACTAACTTCATATATTTTTTTCAACAAAGCCAAGCCTTTAATTTGTCAAAAAAAAAACTAAATTCGCTTTTGTTAATTTGCTGAGACTTTATTTCACGCTACTGTTTTGAATAACAACCTGTTAATCCCCAGTCCTATCCACGACTGTAAATTTTGTAATTTTAAATTTTCCACTGTTTCAAGAGAACCCGTTTTTTCTCATAATGTAACATAAGAAGTCGTATACAAAATTTGAATAATTAGTGCTGATCGTCAGAAAACATTCTGCTCCATAACTTTAAAAATCGATTTTAGTCGTAGGTAATTTTCAAAACAAATTATGCTCAATTATCAACATTTCACGCTTTGTGTTGCATTATTCATGAAAATTTCAACTGTATAAAACATTTTCCTACAATTATACTAATTCTATTCATTTTTCGGCCGAAGGACCCGTCCACAATTTCGGGAAAGTCCTTTAAATTCCAATTCGCATGTCAAAACTGTATGCATGATGCACCCTATTAAAATAAGGCAATCAAGAGATGACAATAACAACATTGTTACAAACGCTGCTTGTTGAGCGTAACAATAAATGAAACGACTGTCAATTTCGTCATATTATCCTTGGACGGTTGAGTGAAACGATCTGTTCTTTATTGTTATTATTACTGTTAACAGTGCGACGATGATGATCAAGGAAATAATATTTAATAACAAAAAACTGTTACCTCTCGTGTCTTATTTCGATCCGACAACTCAAATCCTTCCACGACCCGTAATCGCGCTAATTACTCGAAAAAATGTGTTGTAGAGCAGCAGCCTGCATAAGCAATGAGCTGTTTTGAATAACAAAATATTGCTCTGGATGTTTGATCCTATTACATGAATTTTTTCAGGTACGCGCTGTTAATAATTTTATTAAACAAATTTATGCTAGGCTCGAGTCGGCTCTGTTATTAACTTATGCATAAATTTGTAATTGTGGCTCGAAAAATTCAAATTGATAATCGAGATAAGTTGCTGATGAAAACTTCCTTTAATTTGCCATGGCGATACCCTTCCGCTTCGGACGAAGTGTATTTTTCGGCCCACATTGTAGACCGCGGTTTTGATTTCTAAGGAGAATTGCTAAGTCGGTGATATCCGGAATAACGTTGAATTAGAATGGAAACGGCACCTACCCACTGCATTCCTTTTGCGATTAAATGTTGAGAAATTATGGATTTTTTGAGACGGTTACAAGTAAAAAGCCTTAAAACGCGATTGAATTTATTGTACAGTTAAGAATTATTCAAATTATTTACACAATAATATTTTTATTGATTCACGAGCTGTCACTGAAAAAAAATATATCTATCTTCAAAGAGAACTATAATGTCTGATGCATTTTTTATTATCTACATAAACGTTGTAACTTATTTCCAAAAAATTTTTTTAATTGTTGATTTTTTAAGTCTGTTTTATAAACTCAACTCAGCCAATTAACTAAAATTAAAAACACAGTTTCTACGGGCGGTTCTAGAGTTTTTTTTTTATATTTTGAATTGGCATGAGTTTTTGAGTTTATTTAAAATAATTAAAAATTCAAGACGAAAATGTGGTCCAAATTATGAAAAGAATGAAAATTAAACAGACATCGATTTTCGAAAAACTAATTAAAATTAAACATTTACAAGATGTGGAAAAATTAAATATAAATCATCGTCTTAAAATATGTTTTGAAGATCTCAAGGGCATGGAGATATTTTTTCTGAGATAAATTCTGAACTGATGATTATTCGTTTTGGTTTGTACCTATGTAATAATTTCAGCATAAAATTTAAATTAATTCATTGGATTTTATACTGTTTGCGATAAAACTTAGACAGCATTATTAAGAGTTTGACGGGTAGTTAAAACCACTGAATCTGAGAAGCGGCAAATATTTTAAAATTGTAGTACCTATACTGGAAATTTTTTTGAAGCAGCAAGAATTCTTTTCTTTGTATTCATATTTTTCTGATTAAAAATAATTTTTAGATGTGATAATTTTGAAATATTTTTACGATAATTTATTATCACGAAACAGTAATAAAATAATAATAGTATAATAATAACAAAATACAGAATGTCCAGAAAGGGTATCTAGTAAAAAAGAAACTCTAAGAAATAACAAAATAAATCAATATTAAGTATATACCTAATTAAAAAAGAAAAGCATGAAATTAAGAAAAATACCTACAACTTAATAATACATGCAATTTAAGTGCAGTTGATATAACAGATTGGATTTTTTTTTAATTATTTAGAAAGATATCTGTACAGATCTGCAATGACATTTTTTATTGAATATTTAATTCCATAACAGCTGTTAACAGTTAGCAAGAACAATAAATATTGCAATTTTGTTAACAACTTTTGGTTGAGTAAATAAGGTTGAAACTGTGTATGTATGGAAATGGATATAGATAATATGTAAAAATTGTATCAGATTCCTTACAATTTAAATACTTGCTATTTTTACAATTTACCTATCATCAGTTAAACTGTAACAACATAATTGTTCTCCACTAAAAAGTGTTAAATAAAATATTTTAAAATATTAAGTATATATGAACACATAAGAAAATATTTAAATTTTTATACTTCTATAAATTATAATAGGTACCGAAAGAGCAAAAAAAACCAGGATCAAAGACAGCAATGGAGTTCTGAAGATTTGTCTTTGATCAAATTGGCAGACGAAAATTGCAGCAAAGAGAAATCTTTAAAAATTCATGGCTGTCTTTGATCGTGTTTTCCATTGCTTTCTTGCTAGATCGATTAAATCGCCCCTAAAATTTTGTTTTAATTTTTATCCCTTAAACATAATAACACTGGTTACGCATTCTAAACCTCCATGTTTATACAAAAAAAAAATATATGATCACATTGGTTCTCAAAATCTTCTGATCCCATGGACGTCCAGATTCGGTTAAAACTTCGAAACGAAATTCACCATGGCGTGATCTTTTAAATTTAGCACGGACATTTAGAAGGACATGATAAAAATCTTTTTGATTTTGCGCTAAAGGTCGTCGTACCTACCTTGATTTTACTAAATACCCGGTTTTTGTTTCGACGTTTATGGCCATCTAATGTGACAGATTTAACATAACGTCGGAAGTAACAATGCGCTACATCCGCTTCGTTTTCGTATGACAGGTGACGTCACACTGAAATGATTACCCGATATTTATTTAATGACAGCTTAACCTTTTGAAAACGCTTTATTGGTTTCTCAGTTATGTTAATAAGTCAGGATTTTTTTGAGGTATTTATAAACAACACACACATAAACTGCAGGTTTATAATAAATTAGTAAAAAAAGATTTAATTGTCGATATATTCTGTCAATACATAAAAATAATGCTTTTATAATTATAGAACTGAAAGCGAATTGGAATTTTTAATTGGCTTTCTTTAGATTATATGTTGTTATTTATTCATTGTCTTAAAAATATATACCTATTATCTACGATAAATTAAAATATAAATGAAATATTATTTTCATGTAACGTTCCCTGGATTATTTATTATGTACATATTCCACAATTCTGATTTAAAATTTACAAAAATCGGCATAGGCATCGAGTTACCGATTTTATAAATAATCAATACAAATAGTTTAAATACTTACATTCAATAAGTACGTTTATAATATGCTATATTAAATCTATAGAGCGGTATATGCATGTACATTAAGAAGATAACCATGCGTTAATTCAATTTATTATAATTTAAAATTAATCATAGGTATGTTAGTGAGCTTACCTTTCTTGTTATGGGGGTAAGCACATAGAAATATATTGGGGCGTACTTACTTATCGATATAAATAAATTAAAAAAATTAAGTGTTTGTGTAACACTTGTCTAATAAATCAATAGCCTTGAAACGCAGGATGAATATTTAATAACAAATTAAAGAATATTAAGCAAATGGCATAACATAATGAATTCGTGATGAGCCGCGTTTACCCTAATTGCACTTTCATCCCCGATAATTATTTAATGTATTAATTTTGATTAAACAAATTCCCGCCAATATCCACAACGCAATGAACCGTCTAAGGGATGAAATTTTAATGTGGTTCGTTAGCATATCGTTCGCGGATAAACACCGAATCAGCCCCAAAAAGTGCCCCCACTTGACCGCCAAAAATCAATAAGTGCATAAACCAGTTTAGTCGAAAATACAGCGTTTCGCTTTAATCGCTGGTTATTTGTCCGAAAGCCCAATTCACACCATCAAATTATAATGAATTGTCACCGAAAAGCACAATATTTAAAGAGATTGATCATAATGTGTCTGTAATAAAGCACTCGCCTGTTAACAACACCTTAACCTAACCTAAAAATGAAGCGCCTGCCAGTCTGGCAGGGCGGGGAAAACGGCGCGATGACGCCCCCCTGGCGCAGCTCCGGTTAAAAACGTGTTTAGACCACGCCTGATACGGAGTGTGGGCCTATCGAGGAGCGGCGAGGCGCGGTTTCGAGCGCGTAACGCTGAATGGTAGCGAGATCTGCCGGTTGAAAGGTGCAACTAAGCGGCAAAGCCAACTATTATATGATTATTCTTCATTATAGTCCCTACAGTCGTAGGAAGTAGATGGTTGGTTTAGAGAGAGCAATTTTCGACGTAAAAAAACGACATATGCGCTCAATTTCGTGTAATTTGGTTTCGGGTTAATCTTGGAATAGTTTTTACTCAATTATAGTGTGAATTACACGTATTATCGTCGAGTACCGTAATTGCCCCAGCGGTTCGTCCGACGCGCTCTCCGTCGGGGTTTTCGGTTCCTTCGGGGTGGTTTGTGATCGAAGATAGCTTGTGAAGTGTCCGTCCAAACTGTGCTTCCTAGTGCTCAATGTGTCCTTGCGTTTGAAGACGAGGCCACTAACTGCCCAAGACGCCTCCGCTGCTCTCCAAAGTGGATAACAAACCCTTCACGACGCTGAACTTCACGGACCTGGGGTCCCCTTTCGGGGGGCCTAACGAGGAACCCCCCGGCACGCCCAACACCATGTCGGGGGAGGCGCACATCGGGCCGCCGACGCCGCACGAGTCCAGCAGCTCGACGCCGGTCTCGAAGAGCGCCTTCATCGAACTCCAGCAGCACGGCTACGGCCCGCTGCGGACGTCGTACCAGCACCACTTCAACTCGCCGGCGGGAAACGCGCACACGGGGCCGACGGGCACGCACGACGCCGGCTTCCCCAGCCCCAGGGGCGCCCTGGGGGCATACCCCTTCCCTCCTATGCACCAGAACTCCTACACGGGATACCACCTAGGATCGTACGCCTCCAACTGCCCGCCCTCACCCAAAGATGACGGTAAGTCCAGGTGGTGCGACGGTACCGACGCTAAGTGACAAAAGGGAACTTATGGTTTATGTTACCATGGTGGTACAGTCGGGAGTGATTAGCGAGGGTGTGCGAATTATTTTCAAAAGTACTACTCCAGGACGGAACTTGGAATTCTTATACTCGTACAGGATGTTTCACCGAGACTTAGCCCTTATTTGAAATTTTTTAGTTATGAAGGTGGACTAAATATTCGAGACACCTAGACAGGAGTTCCAAAATTCTTACTACAATTTTAAAAGCAATAAGTGAGTGTTAGTACTTTCATGAAAAACTATACACCAAACTAAAAAAAAATAACTAGAATTTGATTACGAAAAAACGTGACATCTAACAACGTTCGTCAAATCAAATTTATCGACCCAAAATTATGACTACTCAATGTTCACTAGTTCGACTAGAATATAGATTGGACTAAATTCCATTTTCAAATCACTGTCTGTAGTTGACTTAAAATAAATAAATACAAACTCTTCGATTTCTATAACAAGCAAAAATTAAAAAGAGTTTATTGGCGGTTGCGAATTTTTCATTCGAGTGAAGAATATGGTACCTAGATTTTTAAAGTTGAAATTAAAGTTTGATATACCTTAAAATAGTACTCAAAAAATTTTTGCTAACTGCGGTATTTTAATAATAATATGAACTACATGATAATTGTTGTGAGAATTTTGAAACGCCCAGTATATTTTTAAATTGCGCAAAAAAGTGTAAGATCAACCTATGGCAATCTTGAAAATTTTTTAAAATGTTAGAAAACTCTATTTTTATAAAATTTATGAAAATATTCAGTGCTCTGAAAAACAATGTTTGGACCATACACACCCGGTATATACGACTGAAACAGGTTTAGATATATAAAGAAATGCGCAATAGACAGCCTTGGGGTTGGGGTTTTGAACACAGAATCTAATCAAAAATTCACCAGTTTTGTTCACATTTAAACCAATTTTGATTTCTAAATATTTCTTGTTGTATTCTTATTGGGTTGGTATTTATTTGAAAAATAGTTAGTTCTTTGGTGTTAAGGAAAAAAGGTGTTCCTCACGGCACATTTTAAGCCAATTTTCCAAAGTAAATAAATAATAACCTTCTACAACATATTTGAAAAATTTTAAACCACTTATTTCCACTCATTTTTGTATAAAACAGTTTTTGGGCATTAGAATAATGTTTAAACGACCTATAAATTTTTCCAGTAAATCTTCGAAATCGAAACAGAACAGAGAACAATTCTTTTGGTGAAACATGCTGTATGTACGGGGTGAATCAGCGAAAAGGGTACCCCTCGAATAACTTTTTTATTTATGAACTTATGTTAATGGAATTCAGTTCATAAATAAAGACGAATGATTTCTATGAATGCATCACTTCAATAGAATGAAATAATTGACAGAAAGCTCAATAATTTAGAAAAAGTCGTCACAAATATATATTTTTTTAATTTAGCGGAATTTTTATTTTATTATAAAGTTAAATATTTATTATCTTGATACGTTTTATTTGCTTTTTTTTTCTTAAACCTTTTTCTCTGCTCTGTTTTCTAAACACGTTTCTACACAAGCTAAGAAAGCTAATTTTTCACATATTTTTGAAATAAAAAAAAAATATGTACGCACTACTAATAAATAAAAAAGTTATTTGACTAACTCAATATAAAAAAACACAAGCTCATTTTTACTGATTGTTCACGTAAAAGATTCAGTCCCCTTGAACTTACATGCCGTAATTATGAAAAATGTTAACCAAATTCAATTTTTGACTCACTCTTTGCAGATGATTATATAAATTAAAATTTAAAAAATCTTGAAAATCTGTAACTCACACAAATGCTGACTTCATTGGAAATTAAAAAGAGTTTACATCGATTTTACTGCGAATTTTTCTTGCAAGCTATCTTTTGAACAACATGAATTAAGTTAGGATTAAAGTCTCCTATAAATCTTCAAAAAATTCTGGAAAAAACTGAATTTCAACGAATTGATTCGAAAAACATTACGCACCGAGATTTTCGAAAAATTCGGTTTGCAAATTGAAATTTTTAAATATCTCGAAAGCTCGAATACACTCAAAAATTTCATACATTTGAAAAGTTGACTAAAATCCTCAAATTCTGGGAAATACGTTATGACGAGCTGCTTCGAAAACAACGTGTTGATCTCAGATCAAGATTTTCGAAAAATTCGTTTTAGAAATAAATTTTTCGCACAAAGTTATCTCTCAGACTGTAAAGAAAATATTTTGGTAATGTTGTACAAAAATCTTTGAAGAAAATCGTTGCTGTATGGTTTATTTGGATTCTAAAATGTGGTCAATAAAATTGGAGATAAATCCTCTGGGAATCTTGAAGCCTAAACAATATTAAAATATACTTTTAGAAAATATTAAACTTTTCATAAAGCTGTCTAAAATGAAGTTTTCTTCTTTCACAATAATTTAACATAGCTTTATTGACAAAATTTTCGACATTATATTATCTTAAAGTATGTGCACTTTCTTTCGAAAGTCTTTGGCCAAACATCTGTATGTAAAAACTGAAAAACCAAACCACATACCCACTGAAGAAAATAAAAAATCTTGATCTTTGTTATTATAACTGAAATCTCTAGTTTGGAAAAATTCGCTACAAAAAATCTAATTTTTTGGCTACTATATTTCTGTATCAAAACATATCGTCGATTTTTCTGTTCTCATAGCGATCAAATTTCAGCTTTGAAGCCATAATTTATTTTACAATAATTTATATCATTCCAAAAATGTACGCTTAGGGTAAATGTGTACAAGAGTACGCACTTAGTGTAAAACTGTCAATAACTTTTTAATTATTTTGGATAGACAAATTTTATGACATGGGTTCGTCATATACATGTTTAGAGATCAGATATATTTAATTGTACGTCCCAAGACCACTATATTTTAAGAGTAATTTCAATTTTTGTCAAGATGTGTAAATCCGCACTCTTAGACAGTCCACTGCACAAGAGTGCGCACTTGAACGCTTATGAGTGCGCATTACATTTTATGAAAAAAATCTTTATTTCTAAGGTGAAAATAAATAGGGACAAGTGACTACAGACTACACATACAACGGGATCCATATTTCTTCGTACTCTACGGGTCTTGAAATTCGAGAAAACGTAAAAGTAGAGAGTCGGTCGACGGACTCGATCACAATACTTCATTCGCTTACGCTCAGGAAGTAAAAATTAAAAAACAAACATCACCATAACCACCACCACACAACTTGAGAAGCAGTACAAAGTAGTAGAGTTAAATAATTCATTATAGTAGATATCATATGTATCTATAAGACTACGTATCGCAAGTATTGCGCACTCTTGTACATTTGTACATAACCTAATGTTTTCAAAGTTAAAAGCTTTTGATGTATAGAAAGTATAAAACTGCTAGTGTATAACGACACCTTAAAAGTTACAGCTAATGAACATTATTACTGTAAAATAAAAGAACTGGTACGTACCTTACAAAAAACTAAAACTATGAGTTGTAAAAATTACATCCACACAACGCGTAAACATAAAATCGTCAGTACGATCAAACTATAAACTATATACAGGTCACTGTTGCACCTTTATCTCAAGTTTAGCATTTGATTGTGAATGGTATAACTTCATCTTACCCAGATGGCACTAATAAGCAGAAATCATCAGTGCGTACTCTTATACATATGCGCACTCTTGTACACATTTACCCTATCTTATTAGAATTTTAAAAATCAGTTGAATGTGTTACTCATTCAAAGCTGAAAATTTCCAGAATTTATATCATTTTGAAATAACTTAGTAGGTAGATACTGTTCTGTTTTTTAACATATTACAATCGAGATGTTTTTCCAAGGCTTGAAAAATGAAGAAAATAAACATCTAATAAAACAATGCATTGATTTAGCCTTACAGCAATATTTTATAATCAGATACCAGTGGTGTGGAACTATTTAAATAAATCAAAAGTTACTTCTTTAAGTATAGATTCGTTGGTACGTTTATTTGATAAATTCTTAGTCGTAATTCATTAGTCATTTTTCCAGTACAAACCAGCAACGATTTAGGATAATTTTGTGTGACAAAAATGGTCAAAGTATTTAATGCAATAATTATTATAATGAATTTATGTTCACCATATATGACATTCTTTAGTTGAAAAAAGGAGTTTTTATTCTTTTACGAAACATATTATTTTTGATTTTTATACATTTTCGCTCTATTGATGTAAGTATACAGTGTTTGTTCCTCACACCATCTCTGACAGAAAACAATTCTGGGATTGATAATCTTGCATGAACAAAAATCGATTTTGTATTTTTTTTAATACCAAAAATAAATTTTATCCCGACTGATTAAGACAGCACCACTTATCAGCGTGTACTACTATCTTTTACTAGAAAAATGTGTGTTGAGAATGGCAATGCAAACAACAAATCCCACGTGTCAGAATAAATTAATATAAAAAACACATGTGTATGCGCAGTTATGTCATTGTTATGGTTATCTAGGATTTTTAGATGCTTGACGTTCCGATAAGACCGAATTGTAAAGCATTTTAAAATATATATCTACAGTAGTCTGTCAGTTTTAAATGCAGTATGATTTATTATCACTAACTTTAATTTGTTATATTTTCTCATTTAAAAAATTTTTAGATACTAAAATTTAGCTTAGATACTTCTAATTACATGTACTGGTTGCAGTGGAAATTTAATTAGAAGTATGTTTATTCTGAGTTGTTGCTGTTTTTGCAGCAAAACCATACCTAATTGCTGTGTTTTCCAAAGCGTCGTTAATTATCTTTAAAGTGACAGAATATGATCTATTTCTGATATATATATTTTTTTAAATTACCATAGAAAATAATGTAAGAAAAACTAGGAAAAATATTGCCGTTCAATAGTTCAATTTCGAGTAGCTTCTCCGGTCAAACTGAGACCTTAAACTTAAAATTTCTGGAAAATC